CTCCTCCAGCACTGAGCTGCCCAGCATCCAGTGCGTTCCCGGACCGGGTCCCAAAGCCACACCCCACTTCCCCACAGCCTCCGCTCCAGCGGCCCCTGCTCTGCCCTCCAAGTCACACACCTTTGCCTGTGCCACCCCCGCCCTGACCACTCTTAGCTTCACGGTCACACAGGGCCTCTGTCCACAGCCAGCCCGCCCAGACTGCAGAGACATGGCACTCAATATGCAAACTATTAGGTGAGACTGTGGGATACAATGAAGCACACGCTGGCTCCAAAAACGAGGTCTCAGCCAGACTTTGCTCATGGATTCAGTCTTGGCTGGAGAGAAAGAAGGGCAGAGGAGGTTTTGGTTGCCGCCTCCAGGAGCACACAAAGGTGACTTGCAGGGGGAGCTTTGACGTGGCAGGTGCCAGAGAACCGCTGACTCTCGGGAAGCGCCCACGGGGCTGCCAGACCCAAGTGCAAGGGAGCTGGGATCAGCCCTGCAGGCGCCTCTTGCCATCACATCCTGGGAAGGAAAGGGGCCATGTGCCCATCTCAGTCAGTCAGACCCAGACTCATGGCTCCCAGATGCCAGCCCTCAAGCAGCACTGGGCAGCCAAGGTTTCCTCCTCACAGAGAAGGGATCACAAGGTGTTTTTCTAGAGAACGGCGCTCCAAACCCTCTGCAGAGGGCAGTGCACCACACCAGCCCCCGGGCCCCGTGTGCCTCCGGGGGCCCTGAAGCCTACCTCCTTTTAGGTCCTCAGGTATCCAGCGACCTCATAGTGCACCGTCACAGACCCCATGTCCTGGGCTACGGCCTCGCCCGTCTTGGGGTCGACATGGAGGATGCTGCTGGTTGAGGAGCTCCAGGTTCCCGAGAGCTCTGCAAGTGAGCCATGGGTGTCACCGTTCCCGTGTCTAGGCACTATAGCTGAAGCCCGGCCCGCCCCGACGGCCGCTGCCCGTGGGGGCTCACTCACCAGGCTAAAGAGAGAGCCATGCTGCCTGCCCCTCTACCTGAGCCATCAGCAGCTCCCTCCCTGCCTCACATGCCCTCTGCACACTGTGGCACCCTGCCCGACTCTCACGCCCATGCTTCTCTGCTTGGACTCTGGACCACTCTGGGTGCGAAGCCTTGGCTGACCCCTGCTCTGGGTGGGCGGGGTGTTGTGTCCAGGTACCCGCTCTGCAGCCCTCCCCCACAGCACTGCCTCTGCCCATCCCCTGCTGCCTCATCAATTCCTTGTTAGCAAACTCACAGCAGGCGTCGGGCTCAGCGCTGTCACTACACAGCACTTCGGATTTAAAGTCAATCACCTTATGCAATACCCACAATAAAAGCACTCAACAAACACATTCTATTTATGGCAAATTATATTTCTTTTTAGTTAAAGGTAGCATATCATTTCCTTTTAAAATAATGTAATGAGGTAAAAATAAAAGTGGAGCCAGGCCAGGCGTGGTGACTCAAGCCTATCATCCCAGCACTTTGGGAGGCCGAGGTGAGAAGATTGCCTGAGCTCGGGAGTTCAAGATCAGCCTGGGCAACTTGGTGAGGCCTTGTCTCTATAATAAATAAAAAATAAGCCAGGTGTGGTAGCATGCGCCTATAGTTCCAGCTACCTGGAAGGCTGATGCAGAAGAACTGCCTGAGCCCAGCAGGTGGCGGCTACGGTGGCCATGAGCATGCCACCTGTACTCCAGCCTGGGTGACAGACTGAGACTCTGACTCAAAAAGAAAGAAAGAGCTAGGGGTGGGAGGCCCACGAGAGGGAGGTGCCACTGTGGGGTCAAGAGACCAAAGGACCCAGAGCCCCAAAGATGAAAAGTGAAGAGATGCCCACCGTGCATGGTGGCTCATGCCTATAATCCAAGCACTTTAGGAGGCCAAGGTGAGAGAAATGCCTAAGCCCACAGGTTTGAGACCAGCCTAGGCAACTTGGGAAGACCTCATCTCTATAATAAATAAATAAGCAAATAAACCAGGCATGGTGGTGCACGCCTGTAATTCCAGCTATTTAGAAGGCTAAGGCAGAAAGATCACCTGAGACCAGCAGGTTGAGGCTGCAGTGGCCATGATCGTCCCACTGCACTACAGCCTGAGAGGCAGGAAGTGAGACTTCCACTCAAAAAAAAAAAAAGAAGAAGAAGAGATGCTGAAATAGGGATTTAAAATGTGTGGTATGTGACTGGGAGCAGTGGTTCAAGCCTGTAATCACAGCACTTTGGGAGGTCAAAGTGAGAGGACTGCCTGAGCCCACAGGTTCGAGACTACCCTGGGCAAACTGGCAAGACCTCATCTCTACAAAAAATTTAAAAAACTAGCCGGGCATGGTGGCACATGCCTGTGGTTCCTGCTGCTCGGGAAAGCTAATGTGGAATGATCCCCTGAGCCCAGCAGGCCAAGGCTGCGGTGGCTGTGAGTATGCCACTGCATAGAGTGAGACTCCGACTCAAAAAAAAAAAAAGTGGAGCCAATCTGAGAAAAAAAATGGAGTCAATAATTGTACATGTGTTCCGCAGGCATACAGGTGGCGGGGGAACGGATGCGGTGGCAGCGGCGGAGCCTGCCGACGGCCGCTTCCCCCAGGCCTTCCAGCCTGCGGCAGGCAAGCCCAGCTCCCCTGCTGCTCAGCCATGCCCTGCGTGGCTCCCCGCCAAAGGCCCTAAAGCGACAGACGGCCCAGGGCAGACACCCAGAGGCCCGCTGGATGGCGCCCTTCCGGAGCAGGGGCTGCAAATGCTCCCTGGGAAGGGCCGGGCAAGCATGCTGGGTTGTCAGCCCACCTGATGATGGCTGCTGCCACTCAATCTGCCAGCCACGGACAACACACAAGTGAACTGACATGACCGGGTTTCCATCCAAGTTCATTTGCGAGAAACCTGCTGCGGGCTGGACATGGCCACTGCTCCAGAGCATCCCCAGCTCACCCGCACGCCTTCCGTGACGGGTGTCAAGCACTCGGAAGCCCCCTCCCATCTGCAAGGGTCAATGACTGCCAAGGCTCCCCTTGTTCAGGGCGTCTCACCTTCCAGGCTGGTCCAAACAGTGGCCAGACAGAGAACGTCCCCCACCACGACCGCTGACAGCTCGGGGGAGATGGCCTGGAGGACCGGCAGGGGCACGAAGTCAGAGAGGCCCGGGTGCTCCACGTCCCACACACTGAGCAGCGTCAGGCCTGCGCTGACTGTGCGGACCACGTAGGTGTTATTGGTGGGGCCCTGCCCGACCTGCACAAAGTCGTCTCTAGGCAAGGAGAAAGAAGAGGGCTCAGCCTCCGGAAAGAAGGCTGAATGCAGAGGAGAAACCCCACCTAGGCCCTCCAGTGAGCCAAGCAACTACAGTCCCCCATGTGGCCCCTGCTCGAGGTTACCCAGCAGCTGCCCCAGATGAGGAACCACCACAGGCTGGTGGCACAAGCTCCACTTCCACATCTGCCACCCCAGACCGAGCCCATGCCCCTCAGCTGAGAACGCCGGCCCCGTCATCCCAGTGTGCTGGGGGAGAGCCGAGGCCCCAACAGGAAAGCAAGCCACAAGGGTGTATGTCCCGACCCTCTTCCGGACAGGGAACCAGACGATACAGAAGGGGAAAGGCTGCCCCTTGCTGTGCAACTTGCACATGCAACACAGTCGTTGCCCACTTCCTCTGAGAAAAGAGATCCCCACATCCTGTGATGCAGGCCTGGTGTGAGCATGAAACAAAGCCAGCGGGGGAAGCCCCTGACTGGCAGGGAGCCAGCCCGTGGCATGTGCCCAGCCAGTGTCAGCCATGGCTTTGGTGCAGGAGCTTGGACTGTGTGGTGGGGGTGAGGGTCTCAGCTGCCCCCCTGCCTCCACCACACCCTGACCCTGAGTGCTGTGTGCATCTCTGTAAAGAGGAGCTTCGGCCACAAAGCCCAGAGTGACCTCTGTGGCATACCAAGGGCCAAGGACCACTGGGCTCCCTCTCCTCTAGGGCTGTCAACGTCCCAGATGGCCCCTGCTGTGCCACCGAGCCCCACCGTGTGCCCAAGGCCTTCACGACCCCTCCGTCAGCTGACGGCTCTGGGGCCTTGGCCAGGTTCCCTGTGCAGCAGAAGGGGACACAGAGATGTGGGGAGGCGACCTGCTCGCAAGCCCCACAAGAGGCAGAGCTGGCACTCGAACCAGGCCTGACTCCCAACGCCAGATCTTCCCACAAGGCAACGCTTGACACCTGTCCTGGAACGTGCTCAGCACCCAGGAGCACATCTGCTGCAGGGCCCACGGGAAGCCCAGGTTGGAAGGGTCCCCAGCACTGGGACACAAGGCCCTGCCCCCGGAGGGCCCTGGATCCCTCCCTAAGCCTCCTCCCGAGACTGAGGCTTAACTGTCTTCCTCCGAGCTGGTCTCCGTCTCCCTAGGGTGGTGGCGCTCCCCTCTGGGGCCCTGCCAGTGTGGTGTGGCCATGTCCCTTGGAAACCAAAGCAACACACATCTTCCTTCAATGGCCCTAGCCTCTGATGCTCCCAGTCACCTCTGCCAATGACCCCCAGGTACCATCCAGACAGGTCTTCACGGGAGGAAGGAGTCTCACCCATACTCTACCTGTTGGTAGCAAACTCAAGGACCGAACTGTGAGCGTGGAAAATGTCTCCGGAGTTGTCATGGAAGTGGACAGTGAAGGTCACGGTCATTCCCAAAGGCAGGGCCACCAGGGCATCCTTGCTGTGTGTGTGCAGGATGGGGCTCATGGAAACCCTCAGGTAAGAAACAGGAGACACCTGGAGGACCATGACCAGGTACAATGACGACTCAGCACCAGAAAACGGCCTCCCCACAGATCTGCCTCTCAAGGAGATGACTGCCCCAGTGGGTCCCCATCTCAGGAAAACTGGGGGCTGCCTGACCCAGGAGTCATGAGAGGAGGCAAGTCTTGGCCCCCCAGAGAATCCTGACCTATGCTCACGACAAGGTTCCTGTCTCGACACAGTGGGCCGGCCTCACCAGGAGAAAACCTACCCACGAGAGTCAAAACCATGGCTTGGAAAAGAGTGATTGCTACTCAAATTGCAAAGCGATGCCCAGGACTGCAAGGGTCCAGTTTCCTCAGAGGACTTGGCTCTCGGGCACTTCAAGAAGAAAAGAGCACCCTCTTGGATTACAGAGGCAGCACTATCCAGGCCGTCACATGCCTGTAGGCTTCTGGAGCTCAGGACCTTATTCATAAGCAGCAGCCTTGCTTCTCGGGTTCCAGGTAAAAATCTGTCCCGGTCAAAAAGCTAGCACTCCAAAGTCCACCTTTCTTTGACAAAGTTAAGCAGCCCCATGTCTGGCCTACAGCTAGTGCTCAATACACATTTGGTGAAATAAGATGAACATTAGTCATTTTCACTTGCCTAAAAGCTAGGCTGGGCATTCCCTGTCAGACACCCATCTCAAAACAAAAAGGCATTAATGAAATGGGCCTGCAAAGGCTAAAAATTTGAGTGTGTATTTTCTGTCATCTTGAGCCCAGAAAGATACAATGAGACATGGCAAGAAAATTCTGTACGGGACACAGCCCAAGGTCTGAGCCACAGATGCCCAGGAAAAAGATCCCAGGGAGTACAGAGTGGCAGAGGGCCGTACAGAGTGGCCCAGGGAGTACAGAATGGCAGAGGGCAGTGCTGTGACGTGACAAGAACACAAGCCTGAGCGTCTCCGTGGCTCTCAATCTCCGCATGTCCTTAAGCACTTGCACTCTGAGCCTCAGCTTCCCTGTCTGTAAACTGGCCCACCTTATTCTCAAAGTTGCAGTGGTTGTCATGTTACTGGATCTTCATAGCAGATATGGAGCACTTAGGAACCGACCATGTTCCAGGCAGTGGCCTGGCCCAGAGCAGCGCTCCACAACCGGCCAGAGTACCGCCTGCCAGTACCACGGCACCGCGGCCAGAGTACCGCCTGCCAGTCCAGAGGCTGTGGCACCAACCGCAGCCCTGTGACCTCAGATCTGTCATGAACCTCAGCAGGCCTCAATTTCCCCATCTGTGCATCAGGGTGGTAGGAATCAAGAGTCCCCGAGGATCTTCTGGTGGCAGAAGACACTGTTGCTCTGTTATCTCCCTAGGACCTTTGGCTCTCAGTTATTCATGTAAATACATCCCTCCCTACAGTTTCTCAGTTGGAAGGTGGATGTACTCACTTTTACGCCTGAGAGGGAAGAAATATGACCGCGGAGCAATTGCTTTTGTTACTCTGAGAAGGAGGAAAAGGCGAGCCCACCTTTACAGCCACGTGGATGGTCTGGTTGGCCCCGAAAGGCTCCTGAGCAATCACTTCGACTGTGGATGTCCCGATCACAGTCCCCGACGCCAGGAAGCCCTTCTCATCAATGTGCACCACAGGAGGCTTCTCAGGCCCGTCCAGGATACGGTAGCTCAGAGCGGCAGCGCCATCCCTGGAAACACAGAACAACCTGTTCTACAGACGTGGTGGGGAGGGCAGGTCACAGCGAGGAGCCCGGGGACACGGCCAGGAGCACAACAGCCTGCGGTTCCCACTGCCCTGGGAGAAGGGAGAAGCCCTGCCTTGGCCCTGCGTGCCTCCAGCTGTCTGCAACCTGCACCTCACCCGCAGACACTAACCCAGAGGCCCGTTGGCTTTGGGGTGAACGGGCTCCTCGGTCTTCCCAGGCAGCACTGCTGCGGTCAGCCAGCAGCGAGGGGGAGACAGCAGGGGCAGTGCATCTCAGCTCGGAGTGATCTCCGTTTACAGAGCCAGGCAGCCTGGCGTAGTGGGGAGGGGTGGGGATGGGACTTGAAGCGGAACAGTGTCGCCTCCTGCCAAGCTGCATCCCCCTCCAGGCGTTGGTTTCCCCACCTGCGAACGGGGAGCGGTGGTCCTGCTCTGCCCAATCTCCACGGGCTACCGACAGGATGATAACAGGCTGCTTGCTAGGAAGAGGTCTGCAAGCTTCAGGGCACACACCAGGTGTGAAAAATATAGGTGGAACTTCAGACTCCTTCCCTCGCTCACTAATTTCATAAAGGATGCTGGGCATGGTGGCTCATGATAAGCCCAGCGCTTTGGGAGGCAGAGGCAAGAGGACAGCCTGAGCCCAGGGGTTCAAGACCAGCCTGGGCAACCTGGAGAGACCTCGTCGCTACAACAAGTCAAAAACTTAGCCAAGCATGGTGGCACACCCCTGCAGCTCCTGCGACTTGGAAGGCTGAGGGGAAAGGGGTGCCTGCGCCCAGCAGGTTGAGGCTGAAGTGGCTGTGAGTATGCCGCTGCACTCCCGCCCAGGCAACAGCGAGAGTTCAGCTCAATGTACGTGTATTTTACAAAATATCTATAAATATATAAAACAAAGGAACATCAGAAGGAGAGGCATCCAGCTCCAGAGCCAGCCCCCTCACCCGTCTCCGCCCGGCCCTACAGGGGACTGGAGGCACGCTCTTGCCACTGCCTGGGCTTTCTTCCCCAGAGTGCTCACCCTTAGCCTGCAGAACGAATCCCACCTTCAAAACGTCAACCTGGGACATGCAGGGGGCGCCTTTCTCTGGGCTCTGGCATCACGCTACAGCCTGCTCACGCCTCCTCCCCCCGGCACAGGCGCGTGTCACTTGTCCCTGTGTGCCCAGAGCCTAGCCCCCAGTCCACTGGGGTGGATGCACGCGGAGCCCCACGTCAGTGGTCCCGTGGCCTGCTGAGTTTCCCACTCTGCAAGTGCTGTGCACACACCAGTCATTGTCAGCAAAGCATGCCCTCCGAATCAGAGGGAGAATCATGTGTCAGAGTGCTTCCAAAGGGCACCCCGACGTGACTGAGCGCTGACTGCCTGGGGCTCGCTAGCGTGCAGCCTCTTGTAGGGCAGGGCCGGGCCCAGGACACGCGTTTCTCATTCTCCCAGGTGTGCTGAGGCTGCTGCCTCGCGGGCTAGTCTTAAAAATTCAAGGGCATTTGAGAAAGTTAACACTTCCAAGCTAGTACTTTTTTCCCTTTTGAATAGTGAATTGTAGTAGCTAGCATGAAGATGTTTCCAGGCTACAGGGAGGAAAACAGGCTCTGGGAGAGGTCACGAGCGGGAGCCAGGAGGCCCATGTGAGGAGAAGGGCGGGCCGAGGCCACCCCACTGCAGGCCCAGCCCAGGAAAGGCTCCCGGGAAGCTTCCGCAGCCCCGACGACGTTGCCGTGGCTGCCGGATGTCGATGTGGCCTCACGGCCCGGCTGGCAGCTAGGGCGGTGTCACCCACCTGTTCGTCTGCAGCTTGAGAAAGGAGTTGGGTGACATGAGTATTTTCTCTGCTTCTACTTCTGGGTTGAGCAGCAGCAGCTTCTCAAACACCTGGAAAAGAGGACGGGTTTTCTATCCGAGGGTGTCCACGGGTGTCCGGAGTTTGCTTGTGCCCTCACACCAAGACAAAGGACACCAGAGATGAGAGGGCAGCCTTCTCGCCGCCTGCCAGGCAGTAGCATGGCAAGAAGGCCGAGCTCCAGGAAAGGCCACAGGTGTGAGGAGGGCAGGTGGGCTCACATGTGCACCATATTGGGGGCCGCTGCACGAGCCTGGAACACAGTCCTGGCCCTCTGTCCACAGCAGAGAGCTCACCTGCCAGGTGTGCACACAGAAGCCAGACAGGGACTGTAGGGTTTGTGACTCTGCCAGCACTGAGCCTGGAAAAACCCGCGCCTGAGGTCTCCCCCCTCAGCAGGCTTCCTTGAGGACAGGCCGGGTCAGTCCTGGGAAGTGGGAAAGGACCAACTGCAACTAAGTTAACGGCCCAGCTCAGACAGAGTGAGCTCCAGTCTCGGCAGACCACGAAGGCTCACCCAGGCCCCAGGCTCAGAACTACTCGCTATTTTGAGACACATCCAGTTACTTCTGACTCCAAGCCTCGACCTGGGCCATTCCCTCTGCCCAGCCTGGCAGCCAACCCCTGCTGTCCTAAAACACCGCTCTTTTGTGAGGCCCTTGAGCAGCCCCATCTCTGGGCTGCCAAAGCTCCTCACACACTACAATGAGTGTGTACCCCCAGCAGCCCGAGAGGCAGACGCGTGTGGCCCCTGGGAGAAGGGGCTGCTGGCCCTTGCCCTCCTACCCCTGTGTATCGGCCCAGCTGTCTGCTACCTGGATCTGGATCTCATCAGCAAGTTCTCTGGCGAGGCCATGCAGCTGCCCAGCGGTGGGGTCCAGGGCTTTGACCACCACCCTCAGCCTGGTCCGGCCTTTCACACGGCCAAGCACATTCATGGCAAAGTTATACTGTGACGGGAGCCGGATTGAGGCCTGGAAAAGACACCACAAATGCTTTCAAGGGAAGGCCCAGGGTCCCTGCACCCCCCAAAAGGCAGAGCTGGACAGCGGCCCAGCCTCCAAGCCCTCGGGTGCTGACATATGCCGCCTTCCTGCCCAGGATGAGTGTTCAGACTGCAGACCCCAGGGCTGAGCAAACCACAGATCCCAACATGGGTGCAGGCACCTGGTACTGTCTACATCCACAACCTACATGGGTGCATATGTAAAATGCCGGGTCAACCCATGTGAGCTAGGGGTCTTCATGCAGGATGCCTCACGAGCTTGAGACGACCACCCAGAGCCACGATAGGTTTTGCAGTGTGTCTCTGCAGAGCCCACTGTTATGAGATGCCTGCTCACAAGTCTCACTGCCCCTGTTCCCAGGAGGTCGATCTGGGGTGGCTGCCCTTAGGCACTGGGGACAGGACTCTGTCACCACTGGGTGGAGTGGGGGAGCCATTTGTCCTCCATTTGACAAGCTCTGGGCAGCCTTAGGGAGTTCCATCCCTGGGCCTGGGCCTCTCCCCAGGCCTCCGTCCCCACTGTCTCTGGGTAAGGCAGAAAGTGACTTTTCTCTTTTTCTTTTTTTTTCCCTTGAGTTGGAGTCTTACTCTGCACCCAGGCTGGAGTGCTGTGGCACGCTCACGGCCACTCCAGCGTCGACCTGCTGGGCTCCAGCGATCCTTCTGCCTCAGCCTTCCAAGTAGCCGGAACTACAGACGCGTGCTACCATGCCCAGCTAATTTTTTATTTGTTGTAGAGACGAGGTCTCGCCAAGTTGCCCGGGCTGGTCTCAAACCTGCAGGCTCAGGCAATCCGCTTACCTTGGTTGCCCAAAGTGCTGGAGTTACAGGCTTGAGCCACCGAGCCAGGCCCGGAAATGACCTTTCAACCCACCCTCCACTGGAGTCCACCATGGGTGTAGCCTGGAGTCAAAGGGACACACACCAGTCCCGCATTCCCACTGGCCTACTGAGCAACCCTGGACAGGTTTCTTCTGCCCTGGATATGAGCACCAAGCAGGCTGAGGGGGCTCTCTACAGCCCCATCTGGCTTGGAGACCTCCAGAGGAGCCAGGGGCCCTGGGCGGGCTGAGCAAAGAGGACCATCTCACAACCTGGATCAGAAGCTGCAGCCAAGCCCCTGCAATGTCTAGACCCTTCGTGCCTTTCCCCATGGGCTGCTCGTTTTGCTGCCTTCTGCTTGCAGAGCTGCCCACCAGCCCCACGGCTAGGATGAGGGTGGCCTAAGCCTCAGGAGGGGGCAGGAAAAGGCCAGGACCCTGGGACACCTCTGGCTCTCCCAGGGGAGAGGTCCTGTGAGACACTGTGGGGCACCAGCCTGGGCCGGGGGTGGAAGTGGGGTCTGAGCGGGCAGTTACCTCATGATGTCGCCCCTGAAGGTCCAGGATGTCCCGCTTGGTGACTGACCAGTGGAAGGTCAGGCCTGGCACGGCGTTGCCAAAGGAGAAAGGGTTCTGGTGGTTGGTGATCCCGGTGACGTAGACAGGCATCTGGGGAGGAGACAGAGCCCGTGACCAGCAGGCCTCCAGGCTGAGGATGCCCCCGATGCTTCCTGCCCCCGCTGCCATGGGAGCTGGGCCCCATTCCTCCATAACTGGAGAAGGGCACGGCACAGCATGGTAAGGTTTGATGAAATACCCAACAATCAAGCCAGGGGCAGGACTGTCCTCCCCACCTGTCCCTCTCCTGTGTGAGGGACGCCTTCCCATGGCTGGAGACCCATTTCTGCAAGGACTCCCTGAAGCCCCAGGATGGCTGTGGACTCCAGCAGTTCAACTTGCTATCCTCGTGTCTCCAGGGCTCCCTCTTCTGCTCTCACTGGGGACCGTGCTCGCAGGGGTGGGCACAGGTGCAGTGCCCTGGCCGTTTCCGTCTACATTTGCCAAGTGCCTGCCAGAGGGCACAGGTGGCAGTGACGTGGCCAAAAGGACAAAACGCCACTGCACCAGGCCGCCTATCTGCTCCCAGGGCCACCACTCTCTAGCCATGTGACCTTGGATGTGTGTCAAGCTTTCTGCGTGCTGCTTTGTGCTGTGTGCGGCACAGAGATGGCTTGAACACCAGTCTTGAGTGACTGCTACGAACACTAAAGGGAACAACAGAGTGCATGTTGTATAGCAAGTGCCACAGGCCTGAGGGCTCCTGTCAGGTGCCCGGAACTGCCCTAGGTGTGGGAGGTGACACTCTAGCAGGAAGTGGCGTTCCTCCGTGACTCTGCAACATGGGCTCCAGGGGATGGACACAGTGCACACAAGGAGCTCCGAGCTGCAAGTGACAGAGGGTGTCTCCCTGGCGTGGAGCAATGCATGGATAGACCAGGCTGGGCACAGTAGATGGGGGGGCGGGAGGGTGCTCAAGTTTAGGACAGTGCTCCAGTGGTGGCTATGGGAACCAGGGTTCAGAGCCCATGATCCCCAACAGGCCAGTCAGAGTGCACAGGAAGAAGCTGCCCGAGGGGCCCACCTCACCTGGGTCCCTGTCCTCATGCGTGTGATGGGGGCACGGATCCTCACTGCCCGGAGCAGCAGCACCTCCACCTCCACGACGTCCTAGGGGAGGGGAGGGGCTCAGCCTGGCTGGGCACAGGGAATCTGTGCTGGCCAGGGCTGTTTCAGGAAGCAGCCCCCGAGGGAGGGAGGCTTCTGCTCAGAGTCATGAGGCGAGACGAAACCCACAGGACACCCAGTGCCATGCTCCTCTGCCAGGGAGGCCTGCTTGGTGGGTGGCTCACCCCGCCTGGGCCAGCCACTGCCTCTCCCATGCTGCTGGGGTTCCCAGCCTGGTCCTCCGAGCCTGCAGCCCTGTCGGACCCAGGAGCTCCTGGTCAGTTGGAGTCTGCTGGGCTGTGGTCTGCTCTTCTCTAGCCTGGGAAGCCCTCACAGGACAGGTCTCCAGACCCTCCCAGCCCCTCAATCCAGACTCTCTGTCTGAGCAGAGTACAGGGACACATGCAGGAGCCCAGGAGAGTCCTATTAGAACCGACGTTAGACCCGCCTTCTTGCTGAACTCCACACGTCTTATATATCTGGGCAAAGACTAACTCGGCTTGCCTCTTCATCATGCTACTGACTCCTACTCTGACTCAGGCTATTAACACCCTGGAGCCCTCCTGCTAGGTGCTCCGGCTGAGCCCGTCTTCTGAGCCTTGTGGCTGGGCGAACGCCTGGCACAGAGCAGGCGCCTGATAAGCATTTGCTTCTCATGGCTCAGTCTCCTCCTGCCATTCCCGGCCCACCTTGCAGCCTTGGGATACCGATCCTGTGGCCTGGATTGGGCAGACGGATCAGGAGGCATATGACAGAATCACGTGTTGGCATGGAGCCAGGCCACAGGCTGAGACGCTGCCTGCCTTGGCTCCAGAAGATGCCTTTCAGATGGGGCTGGCAATGTCGGCACTCCACCTGCCAGGGACCCCCAGGACCTGTCCACAGCACCTCTGGCCTGGGCTCTGCAAGGGGAGACCTCTGAGAGGAGGGCGGCTGGAAGGAGACTCGGGGCCCTGTGCCCCTCCGGCTGCATCTCCAGCCAGAGCCCTTTCAGCTGCCTGTGCCCAGGAGGGGAAAGTGAGCCCGGGTCTGAGGCCTTCTGCAGAGAAGGCAGCCCAGGGCCCCAGCAAGCCTGATGCGACTCTCAGGGAAGCCCGTCAAAGCCGGTGTGGCCCAGGACAGATCTTACAGTCCCAGTGTTTTCTTGCTGTCTTTACCACATCGACAACAGGATCGGGCCTCTACCTCTGTGATTCAGAAAGACTGTGTGGTTTCAGGTTAACCAGGATGCCTTAAGGCAGACACCGAAACTGCTGGGAAAAGGAGTCCAGGAACTCAGCGAGGGCCCAAAATCAGATCTGAGGCGGGGCGCGTCTGGCCCCCTCCCAGGGTGTACCCCAGCCACCTCCCCCAGGCACTGTGTTGAGGTGCTCTCAAGCTCAGAGGCACTCATGGACTGCTTCCGAGGGGCCTAATTCTGGACAAGGAAAAAAGGACCCAGTCCCAGCACAGAGACTTGTTCACCGCAGCGTGACACAGCACAGAGCATTCTTCTCACAGTCTAGGTCTCTGGCGTGGCTGCGAGCAGGACCCCCAGAGCAGCCGTCCCTGGGACGCTTTTGCAAGTCATGGCGGGCAGAGCAACTCAGGGAGGATTCAAAGGCCGTGGGGTGTAGCCTCCCCTGTGACCTCTCACCTCCTTTCCAGAGGACCAGAGAGGACCCACCCTTGGGAAGAAAGGGGGGTTGTCAGACTACAGACACCCACGGTCAGCTGCTTGGAGTCAGTGTTGCTGATTTTGGGGAGAAGACTCCCTTCACTCGACCAGCTAGCTTCAATACCAGCCCAGAAGAGCAATGAGGAAGGCCCCCCACCCTGCATGGCGGCCTGGAAGAGAACTTAACCTCTGGTTGAGCAAGAGATACTCATAGATGACTCGGGTTTTCATTTTCTCCCAGAGATTCAAACCCAGGTCCGGAGTACAATGGTTTTCTTTTTCTTTTGAGATGGATTCTCACTCTGTCACCCAGGCTGGAGGGCAGTGGCATGCTCATGGTCCCCGCAGTCTCAACCTGCTGGGCTTAAGCGATCCTTCCATCTCAGCCTTGCAAGTTGGAACTACGGGAGAATGCTACCACACCAGGCTTATTTTTTGATTTATTGTAGAGAGGAGATCTCACCAAGTTGCCCAGGGTGGTCTCAAACCCCCGGGCTCAGGCAATCCTCTTGCCTCAGGCTCCCAAAGTGCTGGGATGCCAGGCTGAGCCACCGCGCCTAACCCGGTGGTTCTCAATTCACCAGGCTTATGGAGCCCAACCCTAGAGGCACGCCCCCATCCACAGCGCTCGGCCAATAGCACCGTCCCCACCATCAGCACATCCTTGAGACCTGTCAGAGGAGCTGGCGATGGGACCGAGAGCCTAACGCGGGGAGGCAGGGGGCCAAGCGCGGGCCACGAGCGGGTCCCTCAGGGCGCGCAGGGACTGAGGGAGAGGAGGAGGAGGGCTCGGCAGGGCCTGCCCCCGCCACAGCTACCATCCCCATCCCGCGGAGTGTCCCTGGCGGGGGTGAGGGGTGGAGACCCTGTCCCGGAAGGAGAAGCAGAAGAACTGAGGAGATGCAGCCAGGAGAGGAGCAGCCCAAGGTCTGGGTGCTCCCGTGTTGGCAGGGCTGCCCCAGGCAGAGGCTGCAGACCCGAGGGCAGAAGCAGAACCCTTGGAGAGGAGTGGTCCTCTGGAAGCAGAGCCCACCCTAGCAAGGAGGCTGTTGTCCCAGGCCCAGATGCCAGCATCAACTCTAGCAGCCTCGGGAAGCAACGCAACTGCCACCAGCGTGAACCATCCTGGGCGGACTTGGGTGGCACCGTCGCTGACTGTTACCTGAGAGACGACGACAAGCTTGCCAGTCTCCACATCCACGGCCTGCACAACTCCTGAGACCGTGCCGTTGCCCATGGTGAGCCCGCGCACCAGCCCAGCGCTACTCACGAGTGCAACGCTCTCGTTGCTGATGGAAAAAAGGATGTTGGACTGAGGCTGGGGGCCGCCCTCGGAGGTGACCTGAGAAGAAGAACAGTGGCTCATCAGGACTCGCCTAGCTGGGTGGCTGGTACCATCCCCTCGGAGAACGAGGGCACCAGGCGGATGGCTCTCCCCCAGGGCATGTGGCACTGTACAACAGAGGTATGCCTGGAGCCAGGGCACGGGACAGTGGACTTGCTGGGGTCCAGCCCAGACCAGGGTGGGGAAGGACACGGGCTCTGGGCTCTCACCTGCATCGTGGCCCCAATGAGTAGTGTCAGCTTCCTGGGTATCAGCCGGAACGGGGGAAAGACCTGGGTGGGAGACATAAGAGAGAAGGGATCAGTTGTACGCCAGGCTCATCCCAGCCAAGTGTAACTCACACAACAGCTGCTTAGTGAGAGGAGAACATGGGGCACGGATCCAGTTCCCCCGTGAAGTGACCAGGTACCCAGGGTCCAGGGCCTACCATGGTGAACCCACACCCCATTCCCTCAGCTGAGGTTCCACAGATCTTAGAGGCACGTTCTGCTGCTTGTGGCTGGGCTTCATCCCACGGCATGCTGAACCCCGTGGAAATAAGGACCTTTGACTCATTGGGGACCTCTGCCACAGTGGCAGTCATCGCGTAATCCCTGGGCACACGTTAGATGTGCACATCTTCCAGCCACCAGGACCCACGAGCCAGAGGCGGGGCCTGCCGTCTGCGTCCAATAAGTTCTTCAGGGGTTCTGAGGCCAACCTGTGCCACCACCACCTGCCGGACTCCCCCAACTCCTCTTGTACTACAATTTTCCAAGTCTCCACTGGAAAAAGAAGCCTTAGGATTGTCCTCTATTGCAGTGCCCTCAAAAGGAACCGAGGATGAGGAAAGAGGGGCTCGGGGCAAGGACTGGCCAGGGTGGAGACCGGTCGCCAGCTCCCTGGGGCAGAGAAGAATCCTTCTACTCTCCCTACCACAGCCCCTGCCTGGCAGGAGTGCCAGTGCTTGCGGTGAAGAAACGCACGCGTCGGCCACAGCCCTGCTTTGTGCTGGAGGACGAGTCTCTGCAAGGCTGAGCTGCTCCTACGCAGAACTGAATCCTCATCTCCAGGAGAAGAAAGCTGCCCGTCTTCAGACACAAACCACACCCACTGCTTTCAGACGGGGATAAATGGAGCTCCCAGCCTCTGCAAGGCCAAGGCCCAGCAGGATGAGGGCAGGGCCAGCTTCGTGCTGTCACTGTGCTCAGAACTGGGCACGATGCCTCGGCCACAGTCACCTCGGCCTCTGGCTGCTGTGGGGCCCCTGTCGTAACCTAACATCACGAGATGGCCCCACAACCCCACTGAGACCGCGTGGCAATCTCAGAGCACCCTTGTCCAGGAATGGCCAGTGGCAGGAGTTCCTGTTACGAGGACCTCTGTGGCACAGCCCCGTGACAGGTACCCCTACCCTCGGCGTGCCTATTCTGAGAACTTCTACACACAAGCCATGGTCTGACCAGGCTTCCATCCAGTCACCGCCTGCTGGAAATAGTTCCGACTGTCCCCTTGCCCTGCACCAAGGCACACCCCTTCTCTGAGCCACAAGCCCCTGCCACACCACAAAGGGAAGTAAGTGACTCAGCCGACCCTCCAGTCCTGCTGATCTAATGCTGCCTCCCAGACCCTGCAGAGGGGGATGGCTGCCTTTGTTCTTTTTGGGGGGGTTTTTTGAGTTGGAATCTCTGTCACCCAGGCTGGAGTGCAGTGGCACACTCATGGCCACTCCAGTGTCGACCTGCTGGGCTCTGGCAATCCTTCCACCTCAGCCTTCCAAGTAGCTGGAACTACAGGCGTGTGCTACCATGCCTGGCTAACTTTTGATTTATTGTAGAGATGAGGTCTCGCCAAATTGACCAGGTGGGTTTCAAACCGGCGGGCTCAGGCAATCCACTTGCCTTGGCCTCCCAAAGTGCTAGGATTACAGGCTGAGCCACCAAACCTGGCCGGATGGCTGCCTTTGTTCAGAGGACATTGTGGAGCACAGATGTTCACACAGCCCCTCCACGCTGGCTTTCTGGACTACTACTGAAGGTTCCAGTTGATCACAATAAAGACACCCCCGCCCACCAGCAAGCTGGCCCTCTGCAGTGTGAAAAGAAATGCTGTTACTTCAATCTGTTGTGGGGCTGAGTTGCGCTTCTGTCCAGCTTTGTTGGTCACACTTGCGGTGAGACTGGTCTGGCCAATGGTAATGCCGTGGATGAGGAATATGGCGGTGTAGTTGTCCAGGGTTTCATCAAGGGCCCTGAAACAGAGGAGAGGCCTGGGACTTCACCAAGACAGACCGGTGGGAGAGGCTGAGCCTGGGGCCAGCGCTGCCCCTGAGACGCCCTCCTCCGACCCCCAGGAGGACTCACACCAGTGTGACAATCTGGGAGGCCGCTTGGAGCTTGAGGTCCATGAAGGGAAAGTACTTGGTCAGGAAAGGTTTCTTGTAGAAGTCCAACACGCGGACATATGCCCTGACTGTCTTCCCAATCTCCACCTACATCATAGGGACAGAGGCTCAGGAGTGGCCTAGGGATGGTCAATCCTACCCCGCGGTGCACCTCAGTCTTCTGAAACAGCAACACCAACGTCACCCACAGACCTGGGAATCGGGGTGAGTTACCTGGGCTGATTTCTGGACTATAAGCCAATCAACAAATGAAAACTGATTAAGTGTCTACTGTATATAAGGGGGCCTTGGAGATATTTAGAGGCACGTGTGCCACTTTTTTTTTTTTTCTGAGTTGAGTCTCACTCTGTCGCCCAGACTGGAGTGCAGTGGCACGCTCCCAGGCCACAGCAGCCTCGACCTGCTGGGCGCCGGCGATCGTTCCGCCTCAGCCTTCCAAGTAGCTGGAACCACAGGCGCACATGACCATGTCCGGCTAGTTTTTGATGTTATCGTAGAGACGAGGTCTCACCAAGTTGCCCAGGTGGGTCTTGAACCCGCGGGCTCAGGCAATCCTCTCGCCTCGGCCTCCCAAAGTGCTGGGATTACAGGCTGAGCCACCGAGCCTGGCCATGAGCCACTTTCTACTCTAAGAGAACTAACGCTCTAGTTGGGAAAATTAGACACAGCTTAGAACAGCAGTTCAATAAATGCTCAATGACTGAACAGCTCCAGAATTTTAGGAAATGAGAGTCAGAAATGCTTAGTGAAGACACAGACATCTAGTCAGCAAATTAGCAGTGGAAACAAGAGTATAGGAGGATATGTGAGGCTAGGTAAGAAAATGCTTGCTTTTTAAGTAATCTAAGCTGCTGACCATTCTTCTTCTAATTCCTGACTCCTCTATTCACTCAGGAAAATTGGAACCCGAAAGGAACCCCAGAAGCCTAGCTTCAGTTACCTCAAATATTTGGAGTCATAAAGTTCCCTGTTTATGTGAAAGAAAACCCCGGATCTATTATTTATTCATTTTCACAAAAGTGCTTGGCATCAGTAGTGTTACTCATTTACTTGCTACTGAAACTCCAGAGAACCTGAACCCTGCATTCTGGGGAGAGACCTCGTGCTCAGTGAGGTATGTGCCTGGCAGTTACAACCTCACCAGCTGAAGACGTGCATTCCCCAGTCAAGGCTAACTCAGAGACGACATCAAGTGCCCCAGAGGGCTGTCAGCTGGGTGAGGACACACCATCAGATGTCACCCTCCATCAACCGCCATAATGGAAGTGAGAGACAGTACTGCAAGCTCACGAGGGGACAGGACACAGATGCCAGGAGGAGAAGCAAGGGCTACAGGGAAAATGCCTCCTATGGCCACAACCCTCCCCTGGTGTGCAAGTCACCGAGAGGACCCGTTAGGAAGCTTCCACTGACCTTGTCAACCACGCGGACGTACAGCTCCTGAATGTCCGAGACATGAACGATGGCCTTGGCCGGGGCCGGGAAGGCAAGACACAGGTCATGGATCATGATGGTCAAGGAGCCTGGCTCCAAGGGGTGCACCTGCAGGGTGGGGCGGGGCTGGGTGAGGTGGCCGCAGAGCCTGCCCTCAGCATCAGCTTGTCACTCATGAGACACCAGTGCCTGGGGCCTGTGTCACTTGACAGTAGTGGACACGAAAAATCCTAGCCCGAGCAGTGCCCGGCCCACTTCCTGTCACGAGCCCACTGCCAGCCAGGGGACAGGTTTGGGGAGGAGCTCACAGAGTGCTGATCTCAACGTGGCACAAGACCGGAGTCTGTTCAAGGGGGGGTGTCAGCAGCCTCAGGACGGACACACAGCAACTTGGAGGCAGAGTGAGGACTCCCACCCAGGGTGCCCTGTCCTCGGCTGGCCACCTAGCGTGGAGCGTGGAGCCCTGGTGAGGAGTGTGCCGGGGGCCTGCAGTGAAGCCAGAGGCAGGCACCGGCAGAGTAACAGCCAGCTGCCTCTCGGCGGCAGCTCTCTGAGGACGCCCAGACTGAACCAACAATCGCAGAAGCCGGGAGGCGACGGTGAGGTCACCCAGCGCAAGCTCTCCATGCTGCATTCATCTTTGGGTCTCATCAAAGAGCCCGGCTTGGTCTGAAGCGGCCCCCTCCTGGGCTGCCAGGGGAGTGGTCAGACCCAAGCCGTGCTTCTCCTCTTTTCACTGCCAATATCCCTCCTTTTTTCGAGTCGGAGTCTCACCCCATCACCTAGGCTGGAGTACAGTGGCATGCCCCTAGCTACCCCAGCGTCGACCTGCTGGGCTCCAGCGATCCTTGGGCCTCGGCCTCCCAAGTAGCAGAACTACAGGCAGGCGCTACCACACCCAGCTAACTTTTTGATTTTTACTGTAGAGATGAGGTCTCGCTAAGTTGCCCAGACTGTTCTCGAACTGTGGGCTCAGGCAATCTGCTCACCTTGCCCTCCCAAAGTGCTGGGATTACAGGCTTCAGCCACCATGCCCGCCCAAGATCTCCCTTTCTACTTCCGTTCTGTCCTCCCGCTTTCAGGAGTCCCACCTTCAGGAGAACCCCGCCCTGACAAACTGCCTGGAATCACCGTCTGGGGCTGCACGCGTGGGGCATTCCCATCTCCTGCTCATTGTTGGAGGCGGGCCTGCTGTGGCGTCACGTCCTGCAGGTCGGGCGTGTATTTCGCCTGTGGAGCTGGGCAGGCGGACCCAGGGCACAGAGCCAGTGGGCAAGCCCCCATGGCCGCCTCCCACCCCAGCTGAGCCCTTGAGGTCTGCAGGCTCATATTCATGGGCTGGGGGGTACAGTAAGCACTCAGGTTTCAGGGCGAGAATGTAAGAACCCATGAAAATGCATCCGGTTTCTGACCGACAGGGGACACCCACACAGGATCACACCACACTCAGGGCGAAACCCTCACCAGTGGCCCAGTGCTCTGAGAATGAGCCAGGCGCCCAAGGAGCCCATGTGTCTGAGCAGGCCTGGTACAACCTGGCCCGGCCTGGCTGCCGCCCCTGCTCCCATTTCTCCACACACGACCCTCCGCCACCCCCACCCCAGCTCCAGTCACACAGGCCTTCTCTCCCACGCTCAGAGCCCAGCTGCCACCTGCCTCCCGCAGGGCCTTGCAGGCCCCTGTCCAGGCCCGGGTCTCCTCCCCAGCCTCCACCTGTTGGCTCCAACTTGTGCCCCAGGATCCAGCCCAGCGTCCTTCCTCAGGGCAGGCTCCCTCAGCCCCTCGCCTCTGCCCGCCTCTGAGGAGTACTGGTCGAATGCAACCCCTCCGAACTACAGACGGGGAAACCGAGGCCCAGAAAGCAGGACAGGGACACAGCCCTGAGGGAGCAGAGCTGGGACGGAACCAGGTGCCCTAACTCCCAGCTGAGGGCTCCTCCTCCCACACTCTCCTCTTCCCCAGGGAACAGGGCTGGAGGCCCCCTGCGGCCAGAACAGAGCAGGGCGCAGGGGTTGAGGGGTGACCTGGAGGCAGAGGCCAAGCTGAATAAGGCCCTGGCTGCACCTAGCTGGGGTGTGGAGGGCTGACCAGCTGGGTGGGCTGCATACTCTGCCCCATAACTGAGCTCAAGGGCACACAGCACAGACACGGTATGCCACATTATTTTACACGATGACCTAAAGTAGACTAATAAAGATTCCAGAGCAGATAGCACACTTACACCCCAAAGCAATCGCTATGTGATTGCAGCCACCATCATGCCAGCTTCACACCAAATATGGACTGAGAAGCAAGGTCTGGGAGCTGCCAGGACTCCAGTTTTACAGGTGCCGATGCACCCTGGCTTATTACTTTTCCCAAAGAAAATTCACTGAACAGTTACAGAGATGCCAGGCATAGGTGCTCATGCCTGTAATCCCAGCAGTTTGGGAGGCTGAGGCAGGAGGATTGCTTGAGGCCAGGCATTCGAGACCAGCCTGGGAGCAGAGCAAGACCCCCTCTCTCTACAAAAAAAGAAAGACAAAATTTTAAAAAATTACAGAGAGAGATGAGAACTTCCTGTGAGAACACAGTTTAGGGCTCTGACCTGATACTCCTTCAGAAGTGACTATCAGAAGCTGGCACGTCCTTCACACTGCAGAGAAATGACATGGTGTACCCACTGCTGAGGCCCACGCAGGGCGAAGCAGGGACGGGATTTCTTCTCCTCCTTCATAAGAACCATTTTGCAGCCAGGCTTGGTGGCTCAGCCTGTAATCCCAACACTTTGGGAGGCCCAGGAGAGTGGACTGCCTGAGCCCATGGGTTCGAGACCAGCCCGGGCAACCTGGCGAGACCTTGTCTCTACAATAAATAAAAAACTAGCCAGGCATGGTAGCATGTGCCTGTAGTTCTGGCTACTTGGAAGGCTGAAACGGCAGGATCGCCGGAGCCCAGGAGGTCGACGCTGGGGTGGCCATGAGTGTGCCACTGCACTCCCGCCTGGGCGACGGAGTGAGGCTCCCACTAAAAAAAAACAAAACAAAAAACAGTTTTGCACCTCTTAAACAAAGGTGTAAAATGGCAGTGGGGAAGTCGATTCCCCAAAGACTCCATTTCCCAAGGGATGGACGCTAGCTGCTCTCTGGGTGACGGCAGTGGAGGACAGCATCGGGCTGGGCTGCTGCTCCCAGCCTGGTGGCGCGGCCTGCCCTGCAGGCTTGGCGACGGCGGCTCACATGTCCATGATGCTGCGATGAGGAAGCATTCCCAAGCCACGCTGGAGACCGGGGCGCCTGGGGGACTTGGCCACCAACGGACGGCAACGTGGAGACTGCACTCTGACCTGAGGCAACACTGCCTGTGGCTCGCACCCCCCTTGCTTCTCCAGGCGTTCAGGACCCACGCGCTTCCTAACTGACGTCCGTCAAGGAAAGGGAGGCGGGAAGGGCACCCGTGCCCAGGATAAAGGCCAACTTCTAAGTGTTGAAGTGTCGCCTGGGGACATCAGCCAACACAGGGGAGAGCCCTGTCATCGCAGCAGAGACGAGGAAGGTGTCGCTGCGCCTTAGGACGCTGTGAATGTGGCCAGAGGCAGCTGTGCACACAGGGATGGAAACTGCGACGTCCGCAGGCACCCATCAGGCCCGAGACGCTGCCCACTTCCGGTGTGGGCCTGGCAGGTGGAGACTGGAGAGGAGGAGGGGCCCCACATTTCTGAGCATCGCGGGAGCCACCTACAGCCCTTCCTGAGGAGCGTCCATCAGCGTCGCGTGAGGGGCCTCGTTGTACTGTGCACGCGGTGGGGGTTCTGCGCCCAGACTACTCACCTGCACAGCCTGCAGGGATGCCTCAGGCTCACGTGAAAACCACGGGAGCAGGGTCAGCCCTGACTTCCCAAAGGGCAAAGGCTGGGCATGGTGCCACTGTCTGCAGATCAGCATCCAGGGAAAAGCAGGACACACCTGAGTTCAGACTCTGCAGCTGCCGCCCGCGACCAGCCTCCTCCCTGATGTGCCTCCTTGGATGGACAGGGGCCCTGTGGCCGGCCGTGCCTCACAGGACCTGGGAGGTGGAGGGTCGCCCAACCACAGGCCGCAGGGCCTGCTGCTTGGCTCACTGCTGAGTCCCTGTTGCCCAGCACAGTGCCTGGTCAGACAGGTGCTCAAAGGTGGCTGAGACCACGTCAATGAGAGGTGCTGTGCTCACCACAGCAAGCTCCTTCCCTTGCCATAACTACTGTACAGGCTCTGCTTGGAGGACTTATTTTGACATGTAAGAAGTTGTGAGAAGAAAGAAACCTTAAGCTTGCATCGGGTAAACACTCCGATGTGTAAGCCAGCCCAACACAAACTGAAGGCCCTGACCGAGCGTCTGGGGCTGTGTGAACAGAGATCATCTCGGCCTTGCATGGCCGCGGGGCACTGTGTGGGGACAGAACCCCAAGGAGCCCTGCCACGCGAGCCCCAACAGCGAGGCTGTTCAGAGACACTCAGAAGCTGGTACGCCCACAGCCGTTCTGGCAGCCCCAGTGTGTATCAATGGAAAAGAGTTCTTTTCTACGAGCGAAGGGAAGAGCCACTGTGGGCTTCTCCATCTTCTGTGATCCAGGGAAACGAGAATGCTGCTAATCAGCAGCTGGAAAACGCCAAAGAAATGTGCACACGCAGGCCAGGCTCAGTGGCTCAGCCTCTAATCTCAGCACTTTGGGAGGCCAAGGCGAGTGGACTGCCTGAGCCTGCAGGTTCGAGACCCACCTGGGCAACTTGGCGAGACCTCGTCTCTGCAGTAAGTACAAAATTATCCGGGCGTGGTAGCATGCACCTGTAGCTCCGGCTACTTGGAAGGCTTAAGCGGCAGGATCACTAGAGCCCAGCAGGTTGACGCTGGGGTGGCTGAGAGTGTGCCACTGCACTCCAGTCTGGGTGAAAGTGAGACTCCAACTCAAAAAAAAAAAAGAAGTGTATACACATCTTCAGATACAACGATCTCAAAGAAGCTGCTAGAACCTGTCACAGACTGTCAACACTTCGTGGAAAACTCCTCCTGCAGGTTAAGGAGGAGGTCAAAGGAACCAGGGCTCGGTTTCCCTTAGGAGTTGTGACAGTCTCTGGCATGAACCTGGTATG